TGGTTTTTCGAGACAGGGTTTCTCTGTGGTTTTGGAGCCTGTCCTGGAACTAGCTCTGTAGACCAGGCTGGTCTCGAACTCACAGAGATCTGCCTGCCTCTGCCTCCCGAGTGCTGGGATTAAAGGTGTGCGCCACCATCGCCCGACTTGATACATCCCTGTTATCCTATAATTTTGGATGTGAATCAGGAATTTAGCAAGTTTGAGACCAACCTGAGCTACACAAGACCCTGTCTCAAAAAAAGGAAGAAAAAGTAAACATTTTATATTAAATTATGCTCAATTTCTGACTAATTGATATATGTGTATACAGGTGACTTCATTATCTGGAGGAGATACTACCAAGAACTTAACTAGGGGTATGTCTTTAGATTATTTATATTTTGGCAATGATTTTTGCTCTTTCAGAGAATTAACACTTTGTTTCAATGTAGACTCACTGAATCCTGAAAATCCTGTTCAAGTAAGCCTGGATCACTTAACAGCAGCAATTTACGATCTTCTCAGGCTCCATGCAAATTCTAGTAAGAGTTCTGCAGACTGTCCTCAAAGTAGCAGGAGCATCAAGGAAGCGTGGACTGCAACAGAGCAGCTCCAGTTTACTGTCTATGCTGCACATGGAATTTCCAGTAACTGGGTAGCAAAGTAAGTAGCTGCTTAGAGGATTTGCACAGCCATACCCAGAAGCTATGCTAATCTTAATGTTGTAACTACTTTTCTTTCTTTCTTTTTTTTTTTTTTGTTTTGTTTTGTTTTGTTTAAATGGATGATACAAAGATCACTGAGTACCCCTTTGTACCTTTGTGGTTTTAATAAATTTATAGAGATATCTGAAGTTATTGTAGTGAAAAACATCATTCCTATGACATGAAAAAAAAAAAAAAAACAAGAAAGCCAGGTGTGGTGGTGTACCCAGGAGGTAGAGGCAGTCAGATCTTTGAGTTCAAAGCTAGCCTGGTCTTCAGAGCTAGTTGCAGGACAGCCAGTATTACACAGGGAAACCATATCTCAAAAAATAATTTTTTTTAAAAAGCAAGAGAATATATGATGAAACTATCAAGCAAAAATTTTATTTAAAAGATGAATTAGCTTAAAATTGCTGAGCTTTTCTGCCTTTCCTTTAGAGCCAGGGTAATTTGAAACAGAATGTAATGGGACTAGAATTCAGGCCCTATTCCCTATTAATATCTCACAGTCACTAATGGGCTAGTCTTTGAATTCTACATGAGCATATTTCTTCTACTGAAGTTTTGATAAGGGTTTTCTTTTGATTTTTTTTCTTTTATCAATATCTTTAAAGGATAGTATTTTGGGGGCCAATTTTAATTTACTTTGGAATAATTAATATAAACTGAAAAGTCTGAAAATAATATTATTGAAATAGGTTCATAATGGCTTGGTACTATAAAGTTTACTGAAGAGTTACCAAACAAAAATGCCATGTGAATTAAGCTTCAGATTAGAATGATGGTGTGACTTGAAAGTGGTTTTTGTTTTTGTTTGCTTGTTGTTTGTTTTTTGTTTTGATTGGTTGGGTTTTTGGTTGGTTGGTTGGGTTTGGTGTTTTGAAGCAGTAGGGTCCCTCTATGTAGTCCTGGCTATTCTGGAATTTGCTTTGTAGACCAGGATGGCCTCGAACTTATAAATATCTACCTGCCTCTGCCTTCCAAGTGCTGGGATTAAAGGCATGCACCACCATGCCAAGCTGAAAATGGTTTTTTAAGTCATGGAATAAGTGTTTATTGAGCCTCATCTATAAACAGAGTTCTCGGTGCTGGAAATCTGGTAACAAACCAGAACAGTGCTTTTCTGGAACTTCCATTTAAATGGCTATTAGTGCTTATTTCTTTTTGTCTATCGTGCTTTTGAGATGATGGCTCGCTATGATGCTCAGGCCGGTCTCACCTTCAGAGACTGAGGGATCCTTCCACTGCAGCCTCCTAAGTACCTGGGTTATAAGTATGTGCCAAAATGCCCAGATAAAAACATGGCAAACTTAATATAATTAGTTGAGTATTTTAGTGATATAGCAAAGGTAAGTAACATCTCCACCACTGCCAAGAAAGAGAACAAATGAAACTAAACAAACTCTAACAAAAAGCAGAAATGTAATTAAGGTAGCACCAAGGAAAGATAATTGTTGGTACTTCCTTTCTAGATTTTACCTAGGAATGGATAAATGCATAGTCTGTTGTCATTTACCTGTGCTCTGAAGCTAGTAACTTACTGAGCACAATACCCGAAACAGCTTATAGTACATGGGTCTCATTACTACCGTCTCCTTGAGACTGACACTTAGGGGCTTATGTTCCCCCTATACTTCTTTTGTTATACCACTTCCCTGTTTTTATAGAATTTGCAAAGGTTATATTTCAGATGAATTTCAAAAAAATAAAATTAATGGTGACCAGTTTATTATAGTTTGTCACTTGGGGGGAAATTGCTAATGTAGTTGTGTTAGTTAGGTAATTATTACTAACCTAGAAATCAAATTAAGCTTTCTTTTCTTAGTTATGAAAAATACTACTTGATATGTTCCCTGTCTCACAATGGGAAGGATCTTTTTAAACCTATTCAATCAAAGAAGGTTGGCACGTACAAGAATTTCTTCTATCTTATTAAATGGGATGAACTGTAAGTGAAATTTTTTGCTTTTATAATTATTTCATAGTTCACTGTGCCCTGTTCTTTAATTTTTTTCAATGTATACATTATTGTTTATTATCTCAACTGAAATCCAATAGATTCTTACTAATATGTTAAAATATCTTCTACATAAAATTCTATAAAACAAACTGGAATTAACATGAAAATTTTGTAAGTATTCCTATAAACATCTGTATCTTAAAATTGCAGTAACATGGTATTAATTCTTCCTAGACTTTGTCATGCCAAAGATTAGAAATTTACCCAGAACTCTAGAAATAGTGTTTAATAAACTGCTTAAGTATTTTATTATATAGTAACACTATACAAGAGTCTTGCTCTTGATTAATAGATAACCAACCTAAATTTTAAATCTATATACATGATGACATTTTATAATGTTTGTTTTTTAAATACTGATTTTTTTTAATAGAGAGACTTCGTAATTATTTGAGTAAATAGCTAGTTGCAGAATTATGGTCTAATTTATTTTGCCTGATTATTGAACTGCATATCTTTAGGTACTGAGACATTTTTACAGAAAGAACTGTGAGATTTCTGAAGTTTTATGCTCATAATGACATTTAAGACTTAACAGTACAAGTTAGCCATACTTGCTACTTAGCTAAAAGTTACTTAAAACTAAAAATTGTTTTATAAGTGAAATAAAACACCTAAAGTTAATCAGTTTTCATTAAATGATTACTGAGCGTCACTTTTAATCTAATGAATTTTTTTTTCTGCCCCATAGAATCATTTTTCCTATTCAAATATCACAGTTGCCATTAGAGTCAATTCTTCATCTTACTCTGTTTGGAATTTTAAATCAAAGCAGTGGAAGTTCACCTGATTCTAATAAACAAAGAAAGGGGCCAGAAACTTTGGGTAAAGTTTCTTTGACTCTTTTTGACTTTAAACGGTGAGTATTACTTAATTGTGATTCTAGGGCATATCTCTGCATCACAGACAGGCTGGGGACGGGCTGGGAACACTGATGCACATGATCTTTGAGCATAGCAAAGTAGTCACTCTGCTGTGATCTCAGTGTAGCATGGTGGGTATGCAGAGGATCCAGGGGAAAAACAGTAACCAATGACTGTCATTTTTGTAAAGTATATTATGACAGAATGAATGCTAAAAGGACCTTGTTTTTCCTATTTCCCACCTTTCTCCATTTTCAGAGAAGCAACAGGATTTAACTATTCTAACTCACTAACCGATCCTTAGTGCTGTGGGCCCTTGGTCTAAGAGTTCTGCACATCTCACCTGTGGACAGTAACCTATTTGTGCATGTGGAGGCCCAAATGCAGCCACAATTGCCTTCTTCCAGAACACCATCCACCTTATTTCTGAAGCACAGAGTCTCTTATTGCGTGGGGCTTATATATTAGGCTAACTTGGCTGGCCAGTGAGCTCCAGGAACCCACCTATGTCTGCTTCTCTCAGCACAGTGATTGAAAGTGTACACTGGTATACCTAGCTTCTTAATATGAGCTCTGGAGATCAAACTCAGCTTCCCATGCTTGTAGGGCGAGCACTCACCAACTAAACCATCTCCCCTGCCCTGAAATTGGGTTTTGTTTTGTTTTGAAAATACAAAACAGTTTATAAATGAAATAATGTAATGATAATTTGGAGTTTATCCCCTGGAACTGGAGTCCTGCAGCTGGGTTGTGAGCTGCCCAGCGTGGGTTCTGGAAACAAAACTAAGGTCATCAGGAAGGGTAGCAAGTGCTCTTAACCAATGAACCATCTTTCTAGCCTTTATACATTCATACACAAAAAGTTTGAGAGATTATTCTTGGAAAAAAAGAAATTTTATCTATGCAACAATTTATCAAAGTCTGTTAGTAAATGTTTTAAATAAACCATAAGTTGGTAGTCGAGGATGAGGATCAACATACATGAGCCCCACTGCCTTTTTTTTAACATTTATTTATTGTGTGTGTGTGTGTGTGTAAGTGTAGGTAAGAGGATGGTCTACTGTGAGGGTCTTTGGAATTGATTACAGGTTGTCAGGTATAAGACCAAAAACCCTACATACTAAGACATCTCACCAATCCTATTATGTGCTACCATGTCCGGCCTTTTTAAATTTACTTATTCATATATTTTTAGGTGTTTATTTTATTTTATGCATATGATTGTTTTGCCTCTATGTGTGTCTGTGTACCATGAACATGCATGGTGACTACAAAGATCAGAAGAGAGTATTAGATTCCCTGGAGCTAGAATTTTTTGTGAGCCACTGTGTGGATGCTGAAAATTAAACATGGGTATTCTGCAAGAGCAGCAGCAAGTGCTCTAAGCCACCGAGCCAACTCTTTTTTTTTTTAAGATTTATTTATTTATTGTATATACATTGTATATATAATATACATTTGTCTGCATACATGCCTGTAGGCCAGAAGAGGGCACCAGATCTCGTTACAGATGGTTGAGAACCACCATGTAGTTGCTGGGAATTGAACTCAGAACCTTTGGAAGAACAGGCAATGCTCTTAACCTCTGAGCCATCATTCCAGCCCCCTGAGCCACTGTTTAGCCCTTAGTTTTTATTTTAAAAAAAATTTTAGGCAGGAAGTCACTATGTAGCCCAGATTTATGCTTCTCCTGCCCTAGCCTCCCAGATACTGCGATTACAAACACATGCTGGCTCCTAAATATTTATTGTCTAATCTTTTAGAGAAAAAATTCACTGAGGAGCTCTCATGTATAGCTTACGTCAAATAATTTGTGCTTCAGTGCAAAGCAGTTACTGATTTTCTTGGCATGTACTTTTTATAATAATGGTAAAAATCAGGGTGTGATGCTGTAATCCAAACCATGACCTTCAAGTCATGGTCTCTCAAAAAAAACTTTGGAAGACAATTTTTTTCACCTTCCTGCTTAGAGTGTTTTTGTGGACAGTGGTTGTCCCTTTCCCTTCTGTGTTCTCTCCTCAATGTCATTCTTTCCAAGGTGCATTTTTATTCTCCCTTTCTTTGTTATGATCCTACACAGTAATAATATTTTTAATTAAATTTTTTTTCATTTAATTTACATGATGACCATAATTTCTCTTCCCTGCCCCCCCTTAATATTTTACCTAACTTCTCAGTACAATATGGCAGCTGATTCCTTCTTTTTCTTTCTTTCCTTTTTTTTTTTTTTTGTTTTTGTTTTGTTGTTTTGTTTTGTTTTTTCAAGACAGAGTTTCTCTGTGTAGCTTTGGAGCTTGTCCTGGAACTTGCCCTTGTAGACCAGGCTAGCCTCAAACTCACAGAGATCCGCCTGTCTCTGCCTCCTTCCTGAGTGCTGGGATTAAAGGTGTGTGCCACCACCGCCCAGCCAGCTGGTTCCTCCTAGTATGTTCTCTTTTTATTCATTTTGCATACCAACCAACCAACATACATATATGCACAGTCCCCTCCTAAAATGTTCTTGAAGACCATACTATTTTTACTGATATTTCAAATTGATTGTCATGATATATTGTAAGTTTGAGATTTTTGAAATGAAAATCACAGTATTCTTATGTTCGTGAAGGTTTTTAACATGTGGAACAAAACTTCTCTACCTTTGGACTTCATCACATACACATTCTGTTCCTGGAGCAATCCCAAAAAAAGGCTGTGTCATGGAAAGAATTGTGCTACAGGTAATGGTTGTTCTTGACACATAGAGGGGCTTACATATGAATGTCTTTATAGAAAGTGTTTGTGTATACCATGATGACTTGGGTTGTATTGAAGAAGCCTAATTAATCTTCTTTAATTAATTTGATATCAGAATCTGGTGGCGCACGCCTTTAATCCCAGCACTTGGGAGGCAGAGGCAGGCAGATCTCTGTGAGTTCGAGACCAGCCTGGTCTACAAGAGCTAGTTCCAGAACAGGCTCCAAAAAAACCACAGAGAAACCCTGTCTTGAAAAAAAAACAAAACAAAAAAAAAACATTTTCTGGGCTCATTCTCCTATGTGTTATAGCTGGTGTTCTGCAGGGCAAAGATCTTAATCTTCAGATCTAAGGTTTTGTTTCCTTCAATATTATTAATCAATCTCTACTGGAATGATCATAATAAGATGGCCCTCATTTTAGTTTTTTTGTTTGTTTGTTTGTTTTGGTTTGGTTTGGTTTTTCGAGACAGGGTTTCTCTGTGGCTTTAGAGCCTATCCTGGAACTAGCTCTGTAGACCAGGCTGGTCTCGAACTCACAGAGATACACCTGCCTCTGCCTTCTCAGTGCTGGGATTAAAGGCGTGCGCCACCATCGCCTGGTTTTTGTTTGTTTTTTAATTAAGAATTTTTTTAATGCAATCTTTTCTTATTTTATGTAGCTATCCCTGTCTCCACCCCCTCCATTGCCCTCTTCAGAAAGGGTAAGGCTTCCCATGGGAAGTCAACAAAGTCTGACACTTCACTTCCAGGAAAGATCAAGGTCCTCCCCCTATATCTAGGCCAAGCAAGGTATTCATCCAAAGAGAATTGGCTCCAAGATACCAATTCAAGCACTAGGGATAGATCCTGGTTCCACTGCCAGTGGCACTCACAACTGTTCCCCGTATTCAGTGGACTTAGCTTGGTTCTATGCAGGTTCTCCCACTATCAGTCCAGTGTCAGTGAGCTCTCACTAGCTCAGATCAGCTGTTTCTGTGAGTATCATGGTCTTGACCCCTTTATTCATATTATTGTTCCTCCCACTCTTGGACTGGTCTCTAGTAGCTCAGCCCAGGACTTTACTGTAGATCTCTGTATCTGTTTTCATCAGTTTCTGGATGAAGGTACTATGGTGACAATTAAGGTAGTCAGCAATTTTACAGGGGAAGGCCAGTTTAGGCATCCTTCCCACTGTTGCTTAGAGTCTTAGCTGGGGTCATCCTTGTGGATTCCTGGGAATTTCCCTAGTGCTATGTAATCGCTAGCCCTTTAATGGCTCCCTCAATCAAAATGTCACTTTCTTCTCTCTCACTCTCTGTCCTTCCCCCTTCTTGAGCATCCCATTCCTTCATGTTCTCCTCCTTACTACCCTTCTTCCCTCCCGACCCCTGCTTTCCACCCTCCCTTCTCTCCCCCGCCCACATTCCCAAATTTTCAAGAGATCTTGCCTTTTTCCCCTTCCAGGGGGATCCATGTATGTCTCTCTTAGGGTTTTCCTTGTTACCTAGCTTCTCTGGGATTATGGACGATAGACTGGTGGTTATCCTTTGCTTTACATCTAATATCCACTTATGAGTAAGTACTTACCATGTTTGTCTATCTAAATGTGGGTTCCCTCTCTCAGGATGGTTTTTTTCTAGTTCTATCCATTTACATGCAAATTTCAAGATGTCATTGTTTTTTACCACTAGTACTCCATTGTATAAATGTGCCACATTTTCTTTATCCTTTCTTCAGTTGAGTGGCACCTAGGTTGTTCAGGTTCTGGTTATTACGAATAATGCTGCTGTGAACACAGTTGAACCAATGTCCTTGTGGTATGAGTGTGCATCCTTTGGGTATATGCCCAAGAATGGTATTGCTGGGTCTTGAGGTAGGTTGATTCACAATTTTCTGAGAAACCGCCATACTGATTTCCAAAGTGCCTGTATAAGTATACACGCCTACCAGCAATGGAGGAGTGTTCCCCTTACTCTGCATCCTCTGCAACATAAACTGTCATTGGTGTTTTTGATCTTAGCCATTCTGACAAGTATAATATGGTATCTTATCTTGATTTGTATTTTCCTGATGGCTAAGGATGTTGAGCAATTCAAATTGAAGACCCTGATATTAATTAATCAAAACACCTATGAACACTTGAATTTTGACAAAGAAGCTAAAATTATACAATGGAAAAAAGAAAGCATCTTCAACAGAAAATGGGGGCATAATTGGATGACAACATGTAGAAGAATGCAAATAGATCCATATCTATCCCCATGCACAAAATTTAAGTCCAAATGGATCAAAGACATCAGCATAACTCCAGCCACACTGAACCTCATTGAAGAGAAAGTGGGAAGTAGCCTTGAACACATGGCCACAGGAGACCACTTCCTAAATATAGCACAGTCACTGAAAGCAACAAAAATGGGATCTCCTGGAACTGAGAAGCTTCTGTAAAGCAAAGGACACAGTCAATAAGACAAAATAGCAGCCTACAGAATGGGAAAAGAACTTCACTAATCCCACATCAGATAGGTCTGATCTCCAAAATATATAAAGAACTCAAGATCAAAAAATCAAAAAAATGGGGTACAGATCTAAATAAGAATTCTCAATAGAAGAATAGCAAATAGTCAAAAGACACTTAAGAAATTTTAGTTTTTGTATGCACAAATTAAATAAAATGGAATTTTACAAGATTTCTTATGTCCTTTCAAAATTAAAATGCCATGAATTGATTTTTTTTCCATCAGCTTTTAATGGCTATGATTGTATATATTAATAATGTACTTCCTAGTAATTAATTTGCATTTCTATTCCCAATTTTTGCTCCAAATAATTTAGGTTAAAATGTCAAATAAAGGGATATTAAACAATCTGCTTGTATTTCAGGACAAATGTCTTATTAGAAGTCTACCAGATAATATAAATTGCTAAAGTAGATAATACAAGTAAAATAATTAAAAAATAATGTCTTTCATAAAATTACATTAAAATCTATAACTGAAGCTCACCTTAGTGGTGAGAACAAGGGAGAGCTAGTGAGCTGACCAACCCTGCAACTACCCAGGTGCTGAACCAGGGTTATGAGTTGAGCTACCTCCACATCCACCCATGTATAATCTGCTGGAGCACATGAAGACGCTAGTCTTACAGACCCAAAATTACAGGATTTTCACGACACAGGGCAACAACAGGATATCCAAAGGCCGGGCGGTGGTGGCGCACGCCTTTAATCCCAGCACTCTTGAGGCAGAGGCAGGCGGATCTCTGTGAGTTCGAGACCAGCCTGGTCTACAAGAGCTAGTTCCAGGACAGGCTCCAAAATCACAGAGAAACCCTGTCTCGAAAACAAACAAACAAACAAACAAAAAAAGGATATCCAAGAGGAGTCCCAGTGAGGGCTCAGCATCGATAGTGTAGCAGAAGCCAGAGGCCGTAAACCAGACCAGTGACTCTTTGCAGTGCTCACTTGGAAGTAAAGATAGATGGGTAAAACACTTTACTGCATGACTCACCGTGTCACTCTACAACTTCCATGGCAAAATTGGGTTTTTTCTCTCTTAAATTTGATTTTATTTTGTTTTAAGGGAGTGGTTGCAAGGGTAGAGGGCAGATACAGAGGGACAGGGAAATGAATGGGATCGAGATGCATGATGTGAAAAACACAAAGAATAAATAAAAAGAAAGTTTAAAAAAATTCCAGTTTCTGAGAGAGGAAAACATGCCCTATATCTTTCCTAAGAAATATATACATGCTTTTGAGAATGACCAGCTGTTGGCAAAAGAAGAAAAGAGAAAAGAAGCACCAGGTTTATACTTAAAATAAACTTACCTAGATTGTTGTGAAAACTCAGTTTCCTGAAAGACAAAGATGCTAATATGGAAATGGATTATAATTTGAGCAACTTCGCTGGGTGATGGTAGTACACACATTTAATTGCAGCATTCGGGAGACAGAGGCAGGCAGATCTCTTGAGTTTGAAGCTAGCCTGCCTACTCTACAGAGCAAATCCCAGGACAGCCAGGGTACACAAAGAAACCCTGTCTCAGAAGAAAGAAAAGAAAACCAACAACAAACAAAACACACACACAAGTTCAATGATTTCGTTAATTTTTTTCAGGTTGATTTTCCTTCTCCTGCATGTGACATTGTTTATACATCTCCCCAAGTTGATAGAAACGTTATTCAACAGTACAAGTTGGAAACACTGGAGAACGATGTAAAGGGAAAACTTCTGGATATTCTTCACAGGGACTCATCATTTGGGTATGGTTTGTTTATTATTTTCTTGGGAATCTTCTGTGGTATAAAAGATCAGGTTCAGGGCTTAATATTACAGCCCGTGATTTAGAAGTGCTCTTGATATGGAGGAAGCTGTACAGCATGATCCCAACACTACCAATGGGAAACTGTCTACATACAAATCAGGGGATTATATAAATCTGTGTTTCAGTCTTTCTTAAGTCATGTATTTCTATAGCACGCACGCGCGTGTGTGTGTGTGTGTGTCTATGCAGAGAGAGGTTGACGGGGTACCTTTTCTGTCTCTTTAGCTCATTTTTTGAGACAGACTCTTACTGAACCTGGAGCTCACTAATTTACTAAGCTGGCTGGCCAGGGAGCTTTATGGGTCCTCCTAGCTCTTCATCTCAGTGCTGGGGTTACAGATGCATACCGCCACACCCAAGTTTGATGTTAGTGCTGGGGATCTGATCTCAGGTCCTCATGTTTGCACAGCAGGCACCTTACCCACTGAGCTATTCACCCAGACCATTTTTACTGTGTGTATGTACATGTATGTGCATATAGAGTACAGACGTCAACACTAAGTATCTTCCTTAATCACTTCCCACCTTAGTTTTGGAAACACAATCTCTGACTGAATCTGGAGCTTGCCAGTAAATTGAATAGACTGGTAGTCCATCCGACCCTAAGAATCTGTTTGTCTCCACCTCTAATACCCAACAGTTTTAAAACAAAACTCATCAGCATATTAGGATAGTGTTACCATCAGCACAAAGGAAATAAAACCTAAAACACCCATGTGGATACTTCTATATTACTAAACCATCTCTGGAAGCATAGCAGATCCTTGTCTGTAGAATTAGGAAGACTTCTGTCTTGGGGTTACTATTGCAGTGATAAAACACCATGACCAAAGCAGCTTGGGGAGGAAAGGGTTTATTTGACTTATGCTTCCACATCACTGTTTATCACTGAAGGAAGTCAGGACAGGAATTCAAACAGGGCGGGAGCCTGGAGGCAAGAGCTGATACAGAGGCCATGAAAGATTGCTGATTACTGGCTTACTACCAGTGACTTGCTCAGCCTGTTTTCTTATAGAGCCCAGGACCACCAGCCCAGCGATGGCCCCTTATCAATTGCCCAGGCCTTGCCTCATCAATCACTACTTAAGAAAATGCTCTATGGGCTTCTAACTATAGCTTGTGTCAAGTTGACTTAAAACTAGCCAACACAAGCTGGGCAATGGTGGTGCATGTCTTTAATCCCATCACTCGGGAGGCAGCGGCAGGTGGATTTCTCTGAGTTCGAGGCCAGCCTGGTCTACAAGAGTTAGTTCCAGGGCAGGCTCCAAACCATGTCTTGGGGAGGGGGGGAACCATTAGCCAGCACATTTTATTTAGGTGCTTTTTGTCATATTTGTGGGGTTTTTTTTATACTGCACATGAGATGAATACATTTTGCAGGTGTGCTGTATGCACAAAGTGGAGTGGGTGAGCCAGACATGCTGTTGCATACCTGTAATCCTAACACAGACAATGGAGGCAGGAGGAACAGGAGTTTGAAGCCAGCTTTACCTGCATGGCAAGTTTGAGGCCAACCTGGGCTATATAAGAAACTGCCTCAAAAAAAAAAAAAAAAAAAAAACGAGTAACATGCTTTTAATCCCAGTATTTGGGAGGCAGAGTTGTTAACTCTGTGAGTTCAAAGCCAGCCTGGCATACAGAATGAGTTCCAGGGCAGAAAAGGTGACACAGTGAAATTCTGTCTCAAAAATAAACGAATAATAAAAGCGAAATATTTCATGAACATGTCATTGAACTTAACTCACAATTTATCTCTAAAAATATTTTTTTCCATTTGTTTCTCAGTTTTTCACACTTTTTCCACTGCTTCTCAACTCAACTGTATAACAGTTCCCTAAAGATTTGTTTTCTCCATAGCGTTTCATTTTACTTGTGTGGACGCACTCTGCCCATTCAGCTCTTGCTTTGCTTGCCTGGCATCTTGTTGGGATTACCCTTCACTTTAACAACTCTTGTACTTTTGTCAAGGCAGAGAGAGCAGTTTCCATCTTCAGATGAGGGTAGATTAGTATGTTTGCTGTACGTTGAATATTTCCGTTTCTTATTAGTATTAGCAGCATCAAGTATTAGTCACTTGTCACAAATACATTTCTTCTTTGACTTTTTAATTATTGAGATTATAGCCATGTCATAATTCTACTGAGAAGTAACTTAATTCTATTATATATGCAGACTTTCTAAAGAAGATAAGGTCTTTTTGTGGGAAAAACGTTATTATTGCTTCGAACATCCAAATTGTCTTCCTAAGATACTAGCAAGTGCCCCAAACTGGAAATGGGCTAATCTTGCCGAAACTTACTCATTGCTGCACCAGTGGCCGCCATTGTGCCCACTAGCTGCGTTGGAGCTTCTTGATGCAAAGTAAGTCAGATACATTTATTTGATGTTTTATTGTCAAATTTCCCAGCAGTGTATTATGCTGCAGGAATACTTCCCTTTTAACATAAAAACAACATGATAATGTAAGTGTGTATGCATAATTTATATAAACATATTCTTTTTCATTGAAATGCTCAAGAAAGCATTTTGTATCATTTAAAGCTTACCTAAAGAAAGAATTAAGTATCTAATTTGAATAATTCTTTTTATTAATTGTGTAATTGATTATTTTTAATAATTATATAATTGTAATAATTTATGGGGACAAAATTAATTTTTATGAAGCTAAAATTTTGAAATAATCTGGGAACTGAGTCTGTATTTACACAGTTAAGTTTTTGCTCCTTTAGAAAAAAAGAAAAGTATTAAGGGAAGGGTGGAAGGGTAATAGAAAGTAGAAGAGGGAATAGTAAGAATGGAAGGGTTTAAGTGGAGATTGTCATTGTACTCTATGTATGAAAATTTCGTTAGGAGCTTGCTATGTAGACTGGGCTGGCCTCAGACTCAGAGATTGGCTTGCTTCTGCCTCCTAAAGGCATGTACTGCCACACCAGCACATTGGTTTTGAGTAAGAGCCATTTGAATCTTCTTTGTCGGGGACAGACTAAAATTGTGTTTTCAGTTAATGAAACTGCACTTGCAAGAAATCACTGTTATATATTGATTTTCTGATACTCTAGATTTGCTGACCAGGAAGTGCGATCTCTAGCTGTGAGCTGGATTGAGGCCATTAGTGATGATGAGCTAACAGATCTTCTCCCACAGTTTGTACAGGTGGGAGTTTTTACTAGGCTACCTTGCTTCCTACTCACCCACCTAGTTTCAGTTAGTAAGGGACTGGCCATGGGACCCCTTCTTTGTTTTAAAATGCCATTGCAGTACAGCAGAAATGTTGAGGGCACTGTGTGAGAATATAGTATGATCTCCCATTACTGCCATAGGTAATGTGGCATATAGCCATATGAACTTGTAATTTTTAGACTTTTTTTTAAAATTTTTTAAGACAGGGTTTCTCTGTGCAGCCCTGCTATCCTGGAACTCACTTTGTAGACCAGGCTTGTCTCAAACTCAGAGATCTGCCTGGCTATGCCTCCTGAGTCCTGAGTGCTGGAATTAAAGGCGTGCACCCGGCAATTTTCAGGAATTTGCCAGACTTGAGCCTTTTTTTTTTTTCTTTGCTGGTGAAACATAGCTAATATAATAGATAGTATTCCTTTTGAGTTCAACAATTTGACCTATATTCATAGACTTTTATTTTTTGAGACAGGCTTTCTCGATGTAGCCCTGGCTGTCCTAGAATTCATTTATTCAGGCTGGGCTTGAACTCACAGAGATCGACCTGCCTCTGCTTCTTGAGTGCTGGGAATAAAGGCGTGTATCATCATGCTCCGCCCCTGTAGTATTGGTTTTTTAAAATATTTGCAGTGCTGTGGATTGAAGGAATGTCATTGCTTCTGCTAAGCAAGCATTCTACCTCTGGGCTATAAAACCTAGCCTTTTTTTCCATAAGTGTCATCTTTTCACCAGTGAGTAGCATTTAGTCTACATATTTGATGCTTTTATCTGAGCAATTTGTTATGATTTGACTTCTAATAACTCTTATTTCCTCTTACACATAGGCTTTGAAATATGAAATTTACTTGAATAGTTCACTAGTGCGCTTCCTTCTGTCCAGGGCCTTGGGAAATATCCAGATAGCACACAGTTTGTATTGGTAAGACTTAAATTTTATTAAGTGGCTCCTTTGTTTTGCAGACACTAACAGAGTTAGCATAATTATTAAATATAAACAGTGTGCTTATGATACTTGCTGTGGGTAACCAGCTGTGTAGTGAATCTATTATTTTAAAGAAGCTGAAGGGTTTGTCTTTAGAAATAAAACCAAAATTAATAAAACAACATCATGCTTTTTATAATAACTAATGAGCCTTTTCTTGCTTATGTGACTTAATTTCCTGGATATCCAAAATAGAACTTGTTAAACTGATCTTTGAGCGAGCTTTATCTAGTTCTCAGAAGTGACTGACATAAATATTTTTGTTGCATTAGGCTTCTCAAGGATGCTTTGCATGATACACATTTTGGAAGCAGATATGAGCATGTGTTGGGTGCTCTCCTCTCAGTAGGAGGAAAAGGACTCAGAGAAGAACTTTCTAAGCAGATGAAACTTGTACAACTTTTAGGAGGAGTGGCAGAAAAAGTAAGACAGGCTAGTGGATCAACCAGACAGGTATGTACCCATGAAAAAGAACACAAGTATTGTTTTGTTTTTGAGACAAATCTGTATAACTGGACTAGCCCTGTATCCTCCTGCATAGACCTCATAAGTGCTGGGATTGCAGATGCTTGCCACCACACTTGGGCAGTTGGGATTTTGATAAGAACTATATTAAATCTATAGATCAATTTTGGAAATATTATGATTTATAATAATAACTTTTATTGTGTTTGGGTGTTTTGGTTTTTTTTGTTTTTTTTTTTTTTTTTTTGAGGCAGGATGTCTCTATGTAACAGTTCTAGCTGTCCTAAAACTAGCTCTTGTAGACTAGGCTGGCCTTGAACTCACAGAAATCTGCCTGCCTCTGCCTTTCGAGTGCTGGGATTAAAGGTTCACGCCACCACTGCCCAGCTATTTATTAATTTCTTTTGAGATAAGATCTCTCTATAAAGCCCTGACTATCCTTGGTGGTCACAAACTCACGGAGATCCTCTTGCTTCTGCCTCCCAGTGCTGGATTAAAATGTTCACCACCACATCTAGCCATAATAATATATCTTAATTCTTGAACTCAGCTCGTCTTCCAATTCATGAACACAGGGGAAGGATATTTTCTATTTATATGTTCTTAAATTCTTTCAAAAATGTTGGTGTTTTTGTTATGTTTTGTATTTTTGAAAATAGCTTTTTTCACTTTTATTTTGGAGAGTTGTCAATCCATACAATTACACTTAGCATTCAGTAGGTACATAATGTCACAAAGTATTTAGTGTATCATTTATGAGCCTCCATGTACATTGTTTATATATTTTTTCCCAAGTAATGCTACTGTGAACATTATTGCACACATCTTTACTGCCTTCTAGCACTTCTTTATTTCTTTCATGTTTTGAAGGGATGGAATCTTCTGAGTTGCCGTGCACTCCTGTTTCAATCTCCCTAGTAACTCACTCTGTAGATACATGTCACTGCTCCAGGCTTGCTTTAGTTTCTTTATGGAATATTCCTATGGACAAAATAGTTAAGTTAAGAGCTGTATACATTTTAACTATAATGACTTCATTAGATTGTTAGATTGTTTTTTCTAAAAATCTGCACGGGGCATGATGGCACATACCTTTAATCCCAGCACTTGAGAAGGAGAGGCAGGTGGATCTCTGTGAGTTTGAGGCCAGCCTGGTCTACAGAGTGAGTTCTAGGACAGTCAGAGCTACATAGTGAGACCGTATCTTAAAACTAAATAAAACAAAAGATAAATATTAGGGGGTGGCCACTGGTAGGTTTCCTGTGACCCCACACTCTTGTGTATATGGGCATTCCTAATTGGACTCAGTGAGTTATATAGGAAAAAAGAGAGTTCACGATGTTGGGAGGGATACAGATCTTCAGTGCTGGAAGATGGCTCTGTCAGCAAAGTGCTTGCAGCACAAGCTTGAATTTGCATCCCTACTAGTACCCACGTAAAAAGGTAGCTCAGTGATACCCACCTGAAATCTCAGTGCTGGGGAAGCAAAGACAAGAGAATCCCTGGGACTCACTGATCAGCTAGCCTAATCAGTGAGGTCCAGGTTCAATGAAAGAGTCTATCCAGAAAAATAAGTAAAGAACAATTACAGAAGAAACCTACTTGACCTGTGGCCTCCATGAATGTGTACCTGCATAGACACGTTCATTCTCAGAATGAATAATCTTCATTTTCTCTTCATTTTCATAATGTACTTACAGAGGCAATCTCTTCCATAGGTGGTCCTCCAAAAGAGTATGGAACGAGTACAGTCCTTTTTTCTGAAAAATAATTGTCGCCTTCCTCTCAAACCAAGTCTAGTGGCAAAAGAATTAAATATTAAGGTAACACAGTACTCTCAAGTTCATATAAACGTAAAATAATGCACAAGACGGAGAGTTGTTAATGCAGGTGAGGGTGAGAGTGCAGTTTGTAAGTACTTGGCTAGGGAGAGTGCCCTTAGCTCTGTCTTTCTGCATGTTGTTACCTGACCAGAGTCCCTGAAGGACATAGTGACAGACTCTTGTGTTCTTAAAATAGGGTTATGGTCTTACACTAGCTTTTTGTAAGTTTTATTTTAAGGTAAGATTTGTAGCTCAGTGGTAGAGCACTTGTCTAGTATGTGCAAGGCCCAGAATTTGATTCCCAAAATAAATAGATAAAATGTGATTTGATTTAAGCCGTGAAGTTATTAGAGTGTTAGTATTTAATTACATAGGTAATGAGTTTCATCAGTACTTATGTGAAAGTGGAGCTCTTGTCCCAGGTCAGGATGAGTATCACACAGCTGTGTGTTCTGTTGAGTGATTCAGATACTTAGAAAGAAGTTCAGGCTGGCTTTAAAGGGTTTTGCACCAAGCCTTTAAGTTTTTGTTTTTTCTGCCTTTATTGAGTAGCTATTTTACTGATATATACTGTTTAAATTTCAACAGCTATTTACATATCCATATTATTGGCAGATCATGTAAACACTAGTTAACATCCATTGTTTGATTTGCTCTAATTTAAAGCATTAGAAAAAAATATCAGGCACAATAAATTCAGAATCCATTTTCACGCTATCATCAGCCTTTCTAATGCTCAGTGTTGTGTTTGCAGTCGTGCTCTTTCTTCAGTTCTAATGCTATGCCCCTGAAAGTCACAATGGTGAATGCTGATCCTCTGGGGGAAGAAATTAATGTCATGTTTAAGGTAAGATGACTAGAGTTATTCTGTGGTTTTTGTCTCTTGGGTTATTTCAGAGGGGATTGGTTTGGTTTGGTTTGATTTGTTTGTTTGTTTGAGACAGGGCCTCAATTATGAGACCCTGTCCCATAAAAAAACAGACAATGACGGGAACAATTTGAGTATTTCTGTAAAATTACTGACATAAAATCTTCCCAGATAGGACTGGGGGGCAACTGCAGCCGTTGGCTAGGCTGGTGAGCATAGTATCACAACAGGCAGGCTCCCTCAGGTTTGCCAAGCTGCAAAACTAGAAAGGGTGATGTTTCTTAGGGACTTGTGCAAGACAACAGCTCACAGTATAGTCTGGCTGGCCTTAAACCCTGGACCATCCTGTTACAGCTTCCCATGTGCTGGGATTGTAAGGGTATGCCATCATACCTGACTATTGGTTTTTAGAAGCATAGAGATTACCTATGTGAATCAGAAGGACTGGAGTGTTAGAAAAGAATCTATTACCTGTTGAAATTTTGTGAGTTGTAATCATACATTGAAGAAAAAATGGGGAGTTCTGGCTAATTCATTAAGTTGATAAATTGAAGGTTCATAAAGATAGCTAAAATTGAACCTTCTTTGATAGAAGTTTCTGTTTATTTTACTGGTATTTTTACCTTTTCTTAAAACAATACCATCTATTTTAATGATAGATATTCTACAAGTTGTCTCAATTTTTGTTAAAGCAAATCCTCCTTAATCTTTATCATAATTTTCTTGACTAGCCTCAAAAATATATTTATCATTGTTTGTGTTAAAACTGTTATTCAACCGGGTGTGGTGGTACACATGTTTAATCCCAGCATGCCAGAGGTAAAAGCAGAAAGATCTTTTGAGTTTAGGGCCAACCTAGTCAATCTAGCAAGTTCCAGGCCAGCATTTATTTATTGTATATGTATGAATGTTTGTCTGAATGTGTACACATGCATGCTGGTGCCCTCTGAGATTCAAAGAGGGCATTAGATCTTCTGGAACTGGAGTTATGGACATTTGTGAGCCACTATGTATAGGTGCTGGAAACTGAACTTAGGTCCTCTGCCAGAACATCAAATGATCTTAATCTTTGTGTCATCTCTCCAGCCCCAAAAGGACTAATATTTTTAAGTGACCTTTATTTTGAAATGGTTATAGACTTATAGATAATTATAAGAAGTTACCTAGAGATTCTTGTTGACCTCTTACATAACTGTAATGTAATGTTATAGTCAGAATATTAGCATTGATACAGTCAAGAAACAAACTATCATAAGATCACTGTGATTTCCTTTTTTTGTTTTTTGGGGGTTTTTTTGGTATTTTTGGTTTGTTTTTTGTTTGTTTGTTTGTTTTGTTTTGTTTTTTGTTTTTTTCTTGAAATAGGGTTTGTCTGTGTAGCCCTGGCTGTCCTGGAACTCACTCTATAGACAGACCAAGCTATCCTTAAACTCAGAGATTCCAATGCTCTGCTTCTGGAGTGCTGGGATCAAAGGCATGTGCCACTGCCACCACCCAGCTTCCTTTTATCTTTTGATTGAAGGTATTTTACATACTCTAAAATTCAGCTTTTTAAATGTACTGTTGAGCAGAGTGTAGCTCAGTGGTAGAGTGCTTGCCCAGTGTACACAAGGCCCAGGACTCAGTCCCCCACACCTTAAAATTAATTAAAATAAAATGCACTGTACATGAAATGGACATGAGGCATTTGAAATAGTTTCTCTAGGACACCACAGAAGAGTACAGTGCAGCTCTGAAAATCCCTTCTCTCTGTGCATGCCCTGTCAAACACCCTCAGATCTTATGGCATGTAACAAGTACTTGGGGAAAGGTGTGATTTTTATTTCTCTAATTTCAAGGTTGGTGAAGACCTTCGACAAGATATGTTAGCTTTACAGATGATAAAGATTATGGATAAGATCTGGCTTAAAGAGGGACTGGATCTGAGGATGGTGATATTCAAATGCCTGTCAACTGGCCGAGATCGAGGTATGTCTTTTAATTGGATCTTGATGTCTTTCTTTTGTCTCACGAACATAGCTTACTCTTTTTTTTTTTTTTTTTTTTTTTTTTTTTTTTTTTTTTTTTTTTTTTTTTTTTTTTTTTTTTTTTTTTTTNGCTTTTTGAGACAGGGTTTCTCTGTAGCTTTGGAGCCTGTCCTGGCACTAACTCTTGTAGACCAGGCTGGCCTCGAACTCACAGAGATCTGCCTGCCTCTGCCTCCCGAGCGCTGGGATTAAAGGCGTGCGCCACCACCGCCCGGCCATAGCTTACTCTTGAACTTTTTTGGTTATATACCTACAGCTCCTGGTGCAGGCTTGCTGGGGTCTCAGTTATTTATATCTAGTATTTCTTTTTTGGCTTTGTTTGGGGGCTTTTTGTTTGTTTGGTTGATTGGTTTGGGGATTTTTGAGATAGGGTATCTCTAGCTTTGGAGCCTGTCCTGGAACTTGCTCTGTAGACCAGGCTGGCCTTGAACTCACAAAGATCTACCTGTCTCTACCTCCCAAATGCACCACCTATGCCTGGCTAGTATTACTTGTGATTGGATTAATTATGGTTAAATCCTTTTAAAAACAGCTACAGCCAGGCGGTGTTGGCTCATGCCTTTAATCCCAGCACTTGGGAGGCAGAGGTAGGTAGATCTCTGTGAGTTTAGAGCCAGCCTGACAGAATGAATTCCAGAACAGACCGGGCTACACAGAGAAACTGTATCCCCCAAAAACAACAAAAAAACATTTAAAGAACTACTAAGAAAACAGCTCAGCTCAGTAGGTAGTCCTAATAAACACTTTGTAGTAACCAGTAATATAGGTTTATTGACCCAGTAAGGACATCATCTACTTAAGCCAACTTTGGATTCATTTCCTTAGAATAAATAGCAATAATGAGGTTTTCTTTTTTCATGAGAGTAGTTTTTTTTTTAAGTTATAAAGCTGATTGGCCCATTAGCTCTAGCCTCTGTGTAGCTCTTAGGATATATCTTAACCCATTATTCTGATCTATGTTAGTTAGATTTTTATTTTATTACTAAGTTGATAGATTTTTCAGTTTTACTTTGCTATTTGTATGTGTTGGGAAGAGTAGGCACACATGTATGGAGGTCAGAGGACAACTTTCAGGTGTCAGTTTTCTGTCTCTCTCTCTCTCTCTCTCTCTCTCTCTCTCTCTCTCTCTCTCTCTCTCTCTCTCTCTCTCTCTCTCTCTCATTCTTCTGTGGATTCTAGGGACTGAAATCAAGTTGTCCTGCTAGCATAGATACTTTTACCCACTGAACCACCTTAATCCTCAATTGATAAGTTTTTCAAGTAACTGATAACAATTCATTTATTCTGTGATATATTTTACATGTTCATCAAATGACACTGTAATTACTCTTTTTTGTTTGGTTGGTTTGGTTTTGTTTTGGTTTTTTTTGTTTTTTTTTTTTTTGTTTTGTTTTTAGTTTTTTAAAGACAGGGTTTCTCTGTAGCTTTGGAGCCTGTCCTGGAACTAGCTCTTGTAGACCAGGCTGGCCTCGAACTCACAGAGATCCGCCTGCCTCTGTGTCCTGAGTGCTGGGATTAAAGGCGTGCGCCACCACTGCCCGCTTTTGGTTTTGGTTTTTTGAGATAGGGTTTCTCTGTGTAGCTCTGTCCTAGAACTCACTTTGTATACACAGGCTGGCCTCAAACTCACAGAGATCCACCTACCTCTGCCTCCCAGTGCTGCAATGAAAGGTGTGTGCCACCACCACCCAGCATTATTTCTATTTTTACTTGTGTATATGGGTGTTTGACTAACATGTGTGTTTGTAATATGTGAGTGCCTGGTACCTGCAGATGCCAGAAGAGGGCATCAGATCTCCTTGCGCTGTGGTTACAGATTTTGGTGAGCTAGCTACCATGTGAGTGCTGGGTTTCAAATCTGGTTCCTCTAGAGAGAAGCTAGTATTCTTAGCTGCTGGGCCATCTCTCCAGTTCTTGGGTACTTTTAAAAAAAATTAGATAATTTTGACTGCTTACATTTTTAAGCATGACTTGCCAGATTTGGTGTCTTATTTCAAGGATTGAAACATATCGGTATTTTTGAGACCTACTTTGAGGACACATTTTCAAACAGCTGATACTTTGTTTGTTAAAGGCATGGTGGAGCTAGTTCCTGCTTCAGATACCCTCAGGAAAATCCAAGTGGAATATGGTGTGACGGGATCCTTTAAAGATAAACCCCTTGCCGAATGGCTGAGGAAGTATAATCCTTCTGAAGAAGAGTACGAGAAGGTAATCAGCATGCTTCTTTATTCTAGAGAACTTTGTCAAAATATATTCTGAAAACTATTAGTGCTTAAGACCTGTTATAGTGTTCATATGGTTTAAGGAAGACTCACAATTTATGTTTTATTAGCTGTTGAAGAATTATGTTTTGATACGGCATTTCTCGAACAAACTTTCCTTTTGTTGTTTGTCTTCCCTCCCTCTTCTCTGTCCTCTCTTCCCTTGTGCTCTCTGTTTGAAAAGACCCCAGTTTTAATGTCATTTAGACACCTAATTTAAGTGCCATTAATGTGTCATTTTTATAGCTATTAAATGCTATCCAGTCTGTTGACTTGTGAAGGAAAAGCAAGAGAATTTCTTGCTTTGTTGGTCTTCTAGAGTGGTTTAGTTAGACCACTCCCATTTTTAATTCTTTTTGACAGGGTCTCTCTACATAGCCCCTGGCTGTCCTGGAACTCACTGTGTAGACCAGGTTGCCCTTGAACTCACAAAGTTCCACCTGCTTCTGTCTCCTAGTGCTGAGATTATAGGCCATCACGTCTGGCTCCATTTTTGATTCTTTGTAGTCTTGGGAAACAGTATGGCAGAAGAAACTCTTTCTTCATTTTAGTATTGACTTGTGATTTCTGATAAGATGTTGCCCCAAAATACTTGTTGAACAGTGTATACTAAGCACTTTATTTGCATTTGACTAAGAAGGAGTATAGCACAATAGAATCCCGTTGTCTGTGGATTCTGGCTTTGCCACCTCTGCAATCACATGATCTTGATACAATTTGAAGTCTTGCTATATCTTAGTTTCACTTGTCTTTAAAATGGCATTAATCTTAATACCTAAGTTAGTGATTTGTGGTGGGTCTTTTTAAATATTTAATTATTCTGTGTATACAACTACTCTATCTGCATGGTTGCCTACACACCAAAAGAGGGCATCCAATCTCACTAAAGATGGTTGTAAGCCACCATGTGGTTGCGGAAATTGAACTCAGGACCTCTGGAAGAGCAGCCAGTGCTCTAAACCTCTGAGCCATCTATCTCTTCAGCCCCCTATGGTGAGATTTTTAAATAAGTAGTTGTATAAAGAGAGAGATTGATTGATAAAGTATTATATATATTTCTGTTATCATCATTATTGGCAATGGTGTCTGGAGGATTATAAAATAAAATTAACCAGAGACCAATAGAACTGTACCACTTAAAAAATCGAGTATTTCACTGGTATTAGCATTGTGCAAACCTGCAGTCCCGGTCCGAAAAGATTGAGACAAGAGGATTGTGAATTTGATTGGTATACAGACTCTGTCTGAAAAAGAAAAAAACAATCACTGTATTTTGAGAATCAATGGGCATGCTTTATAATACTTATTATGTGCATCTTACATGCTGTGTATCCTTCTGTATCATGCTAGCAAGCCTAACTGAACAAACGGATATAGCCTTGAGACTCTAGAAGACACAGAGTCATCAGATGCTAACACAGAGCCAATCATGTTATTGTTTTAAGATATAAGTTGGCTTTGTGTTCTTCTACATGCTAGATAAACAGTGAGTTATATATACTCTTAGCCCATAAACTGACTTAGTTTTAAAATTATGTTTATCTATGTGTGTACCCTCATGCACCTTTGGAAGACAGAAGAGGGTATCAGATCTCCTGTAGCTGGAGTTACAGGCAGTTGGGTGCTACCTGACGTAGATGCTTGGAATCAGAAAAGGCAACAGTTGCTAATAACTGCTGAGCCATCTCTGAAGTTCCAAGCTGACTTTCTTTACATGTGTTCTCTATTCTATTTGAAAGGAAAATTAATTTGCTCTGTTAAAAGGTATTTCATTTCCACTGAACCAGAAATAAATAATAATAATAATAATAATAATAATAATAATAATAATAATAAAAAGTATGGGGCTGGAAAGATGGCTCAGTGGTTAAGAGCATTGCCTGCTCTACCGAAGGTCCTGAGTTCAATTCCCAGCAACCACATGGTGGCTCACAACCATCTGTAAAGAGGTCTGGTGCCTTCTTCTGGCCTTCAGGCATATACGCAGACAGACTATTGTATACAAAATAAATAAATAAATAGATAAATAGATAAATAAATAAATAGAATCTGAAATGCACACACTTTAAAGAAAAATAAAAATAAATAAAAATAAAAAGTATGCTTTCCTGCCAGGCAGTAGTGGTACACACCTTTAATCCCAGCACTTGGGGCAGAGGCAGGCAGATCTCTGAGTTTGAGGAAGGCTGGACTACAGACAGAGTTCCAGGACAACCAGGGCTACATAGAGAAACCCTGTCCCTCCATCCCCCCAAAAAAGTGATAAATTATTACTACACACAGGCAAACCCTGCCTCCTTTAAGACATTTTTTTTTCCCCTCTCACATAATTTTATGTCTTTATTCCAGGCTTCCGAGAACTTCATCTACTCTTGTGCTGGGTGCTGTGTAGCTACCTATGTCTTAGGCATTTGCGATCGGCACAATGACAATATAATGCTTCGAAGCACAGGACACATGTTCCACATTGACTTTGGAAAGTTTTTGGGCCATGCACAAATGTTCGGTAGCTTCAAAAGGTACAAATGTTATTATTGTCAGTGAAGGAAGCGTCCCAGACTTTGTCCTCCTGTTGTGCTTTGCCTTGCGGTTCCTTTTCAATGTAACTGGGAATGAAAAAGGCCCTAAGAGATGCCTTTACCATATAATAGACAAAACCAGTGTGTGTGCACTTTGTTGAAGTAAATGGACATGTATTGTTTAATCTAGGTTATGTCATCTGCTAGAAATGGTCCATTTGTACAGTGGTAATGAATATAAATTTAACTCTGCATATTTTTGTAACCACTGTTGAATCTCTCTTTGGTCAAAGATTTATAAGTAATCACTCTTGTGAAAATTTCATATTTAAGTTCTGTCCCAATGCTGAAGTTGCTATGTAATAGCTTTCCTCAAAATGTGAACATTCAAGGATTACGGAAAGGCAAAACCCCTGGTGCTGTTATAAAAGGAAGCTTTTCTGTCCCGTCCATTTTTGCAACCATTTTAAAAATATTCAGTTGCCAGGCGTGGTGGTGCACACCTTTAATCCCAGCACTCGGGAGACAGAGGCAGTTGGATCTCTGTGCATTCAAGCCCAGCCTGGTCTACAAAGTCAGTTTCAGGACAGCCAGGACTGTTAACACACTGAAACCCTGTCTCAAAAAAAAAATCATTCAGAAGCTTAATATTAATTATAAATGTTTGATCAATGACTCGGGCTTATTATTAGTTAGCTCTTACATTTTTAAATTAACCCATATTTTTATCAATGCTTTGCCATATGGATCGTGGCTTGTTACCTCATTTATTACATCTTGCTTCTTTGGTGGCTGGCTAGAGTCTCCCAGACTCCACCCTTCTCCTGTTTTTCTGCTTGGATTTCCTGGCTGGCTCTATCCTGCCTTGCCATAAGCCAAAGCAGTTTTATTTATCAACCAGTGAGAGCAGCACAGCATGCAGAAAGACATCCCACAGCATGCTGTTTCGCACTTGAAAATTATTGTAGCTCACGTGGCTTATTTAATAACTTTTCACAGCAATGGTAGCGTTTATTTTGAGTATGTTATGTAAATATGCTCTGTGTATACTTTCAACAGGGATCGAGCTCCTTTTGTGCTTACCTCTGACATGGCATACGTCATTAATGGGGGTGAAAGGCCCACCATTCGTTTCCAGTTGTTTGTGGACCTCTGCTGTCAAGCCTACAACTTGATAAGAAAGCAAACAAACCTCTTTCTTAACCTTCTCTCACTGGTAACTGTTCCTTATTGGCATTGAATTGTATATTAAAACCTCTATGTTTTGATATTTTAAGAAGGATGTTTTATGCTTTTGGAATAAAATTGGCTATAGTCACAGTTGTCAAAATTTTAGTGCAGTATTTTTAGATTGCTGATGTAAGTACTCACTGTCTAGTCCCACTGATTAAAAACTACAAAAAGTCAGGAGAGTGGTGACGCTAGAGTGGAAAGGGGCGATGGCTGCTGGTGAGTGAATGTGCATTTGTGTCTCTAGATCTACGTGTATTCTAGTGGCAAACATTTGTTAAGCTGTCTTGTCAGGATCTCTGCACTTCCTAGGATAAGTAGTACACCTAAGTAAAAAGAACAGAAACAACCAAAACGTGCTGTAATGATTGTGACTGGAGCTGTTACAGTCAGCATAGGCCTAGGAGGGAGATCAAGAATGTATGTGTTTAATTCCATAAATGGACTTTTCTTCCAGCGAGGTGTATGAGTCACTTAGATACCCAAGATATTAACAAACTCAAGTCTTTGATAAATTTTGTTTCTTTAATTCTAAGTACTTGACCAAGAGAAATTTTAATATTTTTTCTTCTATAGATGATTCCTTCAGGTTTGCCAGAACTTACAAGTATTCAGGACTTGAAATATGTTAGAGATGCACTTCAGCCCCAGACTACAGATGCTGAGGCTACCATTTTCTTCACTAGGTATGACATGTTAATTATGTCAAGATGCAAGGGGCTAGGGGTGGAGCTCGGAGGTAGAGTGCTTATCTTTTCCTCTGAAAGACCCTGGGTGTTCATTCACCAGCACTGAAAGAAAAAAAGCTACTAAAAGTTGCAACAGTGCTTAGAAAAATGTTTATTCCTTTCAAAGTGTGATCTCAAGGTTATTTAGTATGATTTCCACTGGATGAATTCTGCTTATAAGTATATTTCTAAGAAACATGTTTTCTACATTAATGATAATGTGCTTTTTAAGGTTTCCTTCTGAAATGATTCTATTTTCAAGATTCTACCATAATAGCTTCTATGAATTCCACAACACAGCAGCCAACTGATACTCTAGGGCTGTAAACTGTTTCTTCATAACAGTATTTGAAGTGCATGCCAGTTAACAGCTAGCATTTGGATGTCATTGCTGTTTTCAATAAAAACAGATCTTTTGGGCAAACATGTTCTAAAGACCCAGTGACCATATTCACTGACTTCTGCTGTCGGCAGGGAAGAATGAGCTTGCATTGACGTGTCCTTTTCCTCCTGCCTTCTTCCTCTCGGTAGAGAGGAGGTTTAAAGCACTGACCTGGCTGGGCTGTGGTGGCGCACGCCTTTAATCCTAGCACTTAGGAGGCAGAGGCAGGTAGATCTCTGTGAGTTCAAGGCCAGCCTGGTCTACAAGAGCTCCAAAGCTACAGAGAAACCCTGTCTCGGAAAACTCAAAAAAAGGGGGGGGGGGATTTCATTTTTTATTATCTTGAATTTAGCACGTGTCTCCATGTAAACTTAACTATTAACAAATTTCTGATTCTTTTCTAGGCTGATTGAGTCAAGTCTGGGAAGCATTGCCACAAAGTTTAACTTCTTCATTCATAACCTTGCTCAGCTCCGTTTTTCTGGTCTTCCTTCTAATGATGAACCCATCCTTTCATTTTCACCGAAAACATACTCCTTTAGACAAGACGGTCGAATCAAGGAAGCCTCTGTTTTCACATATCACAAGAAATACAACCCAGATAAACACTATGTAAGTTTGTTCAACATGTGTAGATTACCATGTGTAAGGTTTGTGTTGTCCTTCATACATTTTTCACTGATTACTGAAGTTCTGAGCTTTGATTTTGTTTATGCTTGTTGCTTCCATGGATGGTCCAAAAATAAGTAAATATACTTAAAGAATTACTTTGATTTTTTTTTGTACTGTTAATTTGCTTAGAAATAAATCATGAAGGTCAAAATACATTCCTTCTTTTAGTGTCAGAGTATTTTCTTTTTCCTTCCATCTTTTCTTAGTTTCAAAGGTAAATCTTGCTTACTGAAACATATTTAACCAATATAATTCAAAAAGTTTTATCAGGGCATGGTGATTTACACCTTAATCCGAGCACTCAGGAGACAAGAGGCAGGCACATCTTTGTGATCGAGGCTAGCCTGATCTATATACCTACTTCCGGGACAGGCAGGGCTGATTAGAGAGACTTAACAAAAAAGTCTTAAGCTCCCATTGTACTTTTCAGTTCAGTATTTCCCTATTTGTTTGTGTGACTGGCAATCAAACCCAGGGTTTTAACCACTACATAGCATTTATTAAACATACACATAAAACTTGTTTGTTTTTCTCTGAAGGGGTCTTAGCCCTGATTGGCATGGAACTCTCTGTGTAGACCAGGCTAGCCTCAAACTTGGAGAGCCACATTTGTCTGACTCCCAAGTGCTGGAATAAAGACTTTTGCCACCATGGCCTACCACCTTATATTTAAACAAATCCAGGATTTGTATTATTTTTTACATATTCTCCCGTGGCTATTATTATTCACCCTTGTGCTGTCTTGTTTGTTGTTGTTGTTGTTGTTTTTCCCTCTCTTTTTCTATGCTGAGAGTCAATTCTAAGGCCTCAGGTATGCTAGCCATATGCTGTACCACTGAGCTACATCTCTATCCTCCATTCTAATACTTTTTTAGATAATGCTTTTTTTAAATCTATGATTAATATATTTTTAGAAAGTCATTTCACTTTAATTTTAATCACTTTGTTGAGGTTATATTGCCATTGATTTATAATGGCACTGGAAAGTGTACTCAGTTTACATACACATGCGCACACACATGTGCCTTGGGCTTTCTATGGATGTACCTGACTCTTCTTGCAATCTTGTTCAATACTTTAAATAAACTTTTTTCCTTTTTGTTGGAAGTGTACTAAGTGCATATGTTTCAGAAGTACATTATATTTAAGCATGGAAACAAAAGTGCTCACTTCCAAGTTTTATTTGAATCTTCCAGTAGTTAAGTTCAGTCTCAGAATGCAGTGTGTGCTATATAAATACAATGAACTCTATTCACAACCTGTTTCCTGTTAGTGACTTATATTCCCAAGGGTAAAAGCACTTACTTGTACTAAAACCTTTTGTGTCAGGAAAGAAATTTTATTATAATGTGATGTGCCTATCATTGATTTCCTTCCAGATTTATGTAGTCCGAATTCTGAGAGAAGGACACCTTGAACCATCATTTGTATTCCGGACATTTGATGAGTTTCAGGAACTGCACAATAAACTCAGCATTATTTTTCCACTTTGGAAGTTACCTGGGTATGTTCCTATCCTGACAATTCATTCTTATTTTCCTATGTAGAAACTATTTTTACATGCAAGTGCAAAACTTGGTTAACACTCAGTTACAGTTAAAATAATAAGTACTGAACATAGATAAGGAGCTTGAATATTGTGTTGAATGAACATGTGACTAAAATCTTAAAGCTAGGCCTGGTGGCACATGTACACTGGAGGCAGAGGCAAGAGGACACTGCAAGTTTCGGGTGGGTCTGGTTTCAGAGGACTGTTTTAAATATGTACCCATTGTCTTAAAAACCAAAACAACAACCAAGGTGTGAGCTTTGAAGATGCCTGTTTTGTCACCTTGATTTTATGTGTCAACTAAGATAATGGAATCTTGGTTTTAAAATGTCACATGCTACAGCTGCATAAATCATCCATATGAGCCATACTGACTCCTGTGATAAATAGTAAACCTGAGGTCAGATGTTATGGCTTAGCTGGTAAAGGCTCTTTCTTCCAAACCTGACAATTCAGACCTCAACATGTGCCATGGAATAACGCTGGCCCCTTGCCAGTTACCACTGAAATTCTTAGATGTAATTTTTTTTTTTTTTTTTGGTCATTTCAGGACAGGGTTTCTCTGTGTGTACAGTCTTGGCTGTCCTGGTCACTGTGTAGACCAGGCTGGCCTTGAACGCAGAGATTTACCTGCCTCTGATTAAGGGCACTACCTCATAGATGTTTTAATCTTCAATGCTTACCTTTTTTTTTTTTTTTTTTTTTTGGGTTTTTTTTCGAGACAGGATTTCTCTGTAGTTTTTGGTGCCTGTCCTGGAACTAGCTCTTGTAGACTAGGCTGGCCTCGAACTCACAGAGGAGCCTGCCTCTGCCTCCCAAGTGCTGGGATTAAAGGCGTGCGCCACCACCACCCGGCCCTTGCTTAGCTTTTTTTTAAAAGATAATTTTTCATTTTAAATTGTATATGTGTGTTGTGTATGTTTACTGTGTTGGTGTCTGCAGAGGCATTGATCCCATAGAGCTGGAGTTACAGTGGCCATTGTGAGCTGACCAATGTGGGTACTGGGAACTGAACTCGGGTTCTCTGCAAGAACAGTACATGCCCTTTAACTGCTGAGCTGTCTCTTTTGCCCCTAGTGCTTAGCTTTTTATCTGACTCCTTTTGTAAAACCTCAGATTAAAAAAGCTTATAGCTTTCCTTTGCCATATTCTTGTCATACAAGATTTCAAAAACATGGAGATAAGATGGGTACCAAAGTATGTTACGGTTGGATATGGATCTCTGAGTAAAAGGCCAGCCAGGGATACATAGGGAGACCTTGTCTCAGACAATAAAGAGTTTCTTCCTGTGTGTACTCTCATTTTCTTAACATCACCAAAGTAAGAATTGAGATATTGGTTTTGGCACCTGATTTAGGTTCTATGTCATTGTTTGTGTATCTTTATGATTATTGAGAAATGGTTCTTTTAGAGACAAAATCCGGTAAATATTTGTGAATGATTAAAGTTGAAACCAAATATCAAAAAATTAGTAACAAATACAGAAAACTAGTAAGGCATGCTCCTTTTTCTTTCTTCTTTTCTCCCAGGGAGGGGGTTGTTGAGATAGGGTCTCAAGTGGTACTGAGATTACAGATGTGTGCCACCAAGCCCAACTAACACATGCATCTTGATGCCAAGACTTAAATGAAGAAAATGAATAATTGAATAGTTTATCCCTAGTGTTTTGAATCACACCAGCAAAATATAATAGGTTAAAACCACACTTTTGTGTCTTCAAAATATATTTCTAGGTAAATATTGTGCATGATACTCCACAAATATTTTCTGATAATTTAAATCTCGCTGTTTTTCTTTATTTTTTGTAGCTTCCCTAATAGGATGGTTCTGGGAAGAACACACATAAAAGATGTAGCAGCCAAAAGGAAAATTGAATTAAACAGTTATTTACAGAATTTGCTGAATGCATCAACAGATGTAGCAGAGGTGACTTTCCAATATAAGTAAATAACACAGTCTACCTTTGTGTCATGTAATATTTAACTAATGAACTTTTTTCTTTTATCTTAGTGCGATCTTGTTTGTACTTTTTTCCACCCCTTACTTCGTGATGAGAAAGCTGAAGGAATAGCTAGGTCTGCAGGTGAGACTTTTCCCATCGGTTGATAACTCATGACTTTTGTGATGGGTGGAGCTGATGTGTGTTAGCGCACATGCATGTGTGTGGAGGCTAGAAGTCAGTTTGGGGTGTTTTCAGGTGTCTCTCTTGGATTTTTTTTTTTTGAGATTTATTTTATGTACATGAGTATTTTGCCTGAATGTATATATGTATACCATGTACATGCTGTAGAGGTCAGAAGAACAAATTGGATGTTATGGATGGTTGTAAGCACTCTGTGGATACTGGGAATCTAATCCAGGTTCTTTGTAAGAGCAATAAATGTTCTGTCTCCCTTCTTCCCTTCCTTTCTCTCAATGGGTTAGTCTTTCTAAGTCCGTTTCTAGAAAAACTTAGCATTCCTAATAATTAACTTGTGATTACAAAAAAAAAGGTACAAATTAGTGGCAAATGAGGTTTACTTTTCCCGTCCACTTCCCCTCTCCCTGCCCTCGTGCAGCAGCTCTTTGTTGACGTGTGGACCTTTGCAGGCACGCTGAGATAGATAAAGAGGAAAGTATTTCTATTTTCAGGTGCAGGGTCCTTCAGCCCCACTCTGGGCCAAATAGGAGGAGCAGTGAAGTTATCTGTGTCTTACCGAAATGGCACCCTCTTCATCATGGTGATGCACATCAAAGACCTTGTGAGTGGTTACAAATGCTGACTGCTGAGCAGATCTGTACCTGGTGGGAAGCATTACTGTTAAGAGACTGCTTTTCTTTATAGGTTACTGAAGATGGGGCTGACCCAAATCCATACGTCAAAACATACCTACTTCCAGATACCCAAAAAACATCAAAACGTAAAACCAAAATTTCACGTAAAACTAGGAACCCAACATTCAATGAAATGGTAAGCTAAACTTCATTTCTAGAAATTTCCTAGAGTTTTGTTTGAGATTTCAACGTTTTTATTTAAGATTTATTTATTTTTATTTTATGTGTATATATTGTTTTCCTGTCATGTATGTAAGTGCATTGGATGTGAGCCTTGTACACACAGTGTCCAGAGTTACAGGAAGTTGTAAACTGCCATGTAGGTGCTGGGGAGTGAACTCAGGTCCACTACAAGAGCATCAGTGCTTTTAATTGCTGAGCCATCTTTCTAACCTTCCCCGCATGTTTTATTCTCTTAGTATCCTCTTACAAAAATGAAGTGTCAGCAGGACAGGAACCAAAAGCTACGGAGAAACCCTGTCTCGAAAAATCCAAAAATAAAAAAAAAAAAAAAAATTAAAAAAATCAGTTGAACAGTAGTAGAGAGTATAACTGTGATTGAGAGCGGGACAGTGGTGGCGCACGCCTTTAATCCCAACTCTTGGGAGTTAGAGGCAGATAGATCTCTGTGAGTTCGAGGCCAGCCTGATCTACAAGAGCTAGTTCCAGGACAGGCTCCAAAGCTACAGAGAAACCCTGTCTCAAAAAAAATAAAGGGGGCTGTAGAGATGGCTCAGAGGTTAAGAGCACTGACTGCTCTTCCAGAGGTCCTGAGCTCAATTCCCAGGAACCACATGGTGGCTCACAACCATCTGTACTGAGATCTGGAGCCCTCCTCTGGTGTGCGGGCATACATCAAAGGCAGAATGTTGTATACGTAATAAAAAATCTTTAAAAAAAAATAAACTGCACAGGAATCCCATTAAACCTGGATATTATTTAATTTGGCTTGATTGGGGTTTTTTAAAAAAATAATAACAAATAAATAAACAAACAGTAACTGTGACTGAGATACTCAAGGCAACTAGCAGATCCACAATCCATCAGTAACCAGTTAAAACCTACTTCCAGATATCCACAAAACATCAAAATGTAAAACCAAAATTTCACCTAAAACTAGGAACCCAACATTCAATGAAATAGCAAGCTAAACTTCATTTCTTAAAAGTTCCTAGAGTTCTCTCACCTGGCTGCCTTCCTTAACTATTTTGGGGGGCAGAGCAGACACATTATTTATGGACCTTAGCATTTAATTCACACACAAAAATTTCTGGATAGAGATTGGAAGACAACTTGAATTTTTTTTGTTTTGTTTTTTGACACTCTGTCCTGGAATTTAGCTAGAACAAGCTGGCCTTGAACTCACAGAGATCCACCTATTTCTGTCTCCTGAGTCTTGGGATTAAAAGCATATACCACCACACTCGGCTTGACAATTTGAATTTTTATCAATATTATAAATGTATCAAGACCCGTAGAAAAGCCAGGCATGGGGCTAGAGAAATGGCTCAGCACTTAAGAGCACTTGTTCTTTCAGAGGACTGGAGTTCAGTCCCCAGCAACTATATCAGGGGGGCTTAAAATTGCCGATAACTCCAGTTTCACGGAATCTGGCACCATCTTCTGACTTCCTAAGGCACCCACACATGTATGACATACACGTGAATTTAAAAAATAATAATAAAAGATAATAAATAAAATTTAAAGAGAAAAAAGTCAAGTACATTACTGTACTTGTAGCCCTTAAGAGTCGAGGCAGGAAGATTAGAATATGAATTTAAGGTTAGCCTGGGTTACATAGCAAATTTGAAGTCAACCTGGGCCATCTAGATAGAGAGACCCTGTCTCAAATACATACACACAGAGAGCCCTCTAAAGGGTCATCCACTCTTTAAATACACATGCAGCACTTACCAAAGAACACTTGGTGTTAGTCTTATAAAACAATGGTGGGGTTTTTAGTGAATTTTCCCCTGGTTGATACTATATTGTCAAGACAAAGACATACAAGCAAGTGTTCTTGTGATTTAGTCAAACAGTGAGAAGGTCTAAGTTAAAGAAATATTTCTCAGAACTTACTGTGAAGTTTTGTGGAAAAATAAATATTTTAAGTGCTGTAATGAGGATTTGAACTAGCAATAGCTTTGAGCACTGCAGATCTGCTGCAAATTACATTCTCTGTGGGTTTGTATCTCCTTGCGAATAAAAAGTTACCACTTCCTGGCATTTGACAGAACAATGAAATTTTAATCTGGTTTCGCAAAATAATTTTAAAATTATATTTTCCAACTTGCTTTCCTTTCGTCCTCTTTTTTTTCTCCAGCTGTTAAATCATCTTAAGGTAATCACCAGGTAATCTCTTTTCCCTGCCCCATTACTTGCATCTCTCAGAACCCATATCTGAGGATTTGGAGGTTGTTTTGTTTTTTGACAATGATTGGTCCAGCTTTCTACAGTCTCTTTGATAGTTCAATCCAGTATTCCAGAAATTAAAACTTGCTCCTGATACATTGAGACAAGCCCCGCTTCTATATTCACTGCCACTCATTGTATCACTCTTTGACTGATACCTTCACATTTTACTGAAGATATTCCAAGAAACTAAATCTTATCATTTTCCCCCCTCTAGCTTGTGTATAATGGCTACAGCAAAGAAACCTTGAGACAGAAACAACTTCAACTGAGTGTACTCAGTGCAGAATCTCTGCGGGAGAATTTCTTCTTGGGTGGAATAACCCTGCCGTTGAAAGATTTCAACTTGAGCAAAGAGACAGTTAAGTGGTACCAGCTGACTGCGGCCACATACCTATAAACTGTGGATTTCTGAGCATTGGAAGCAAGGAGTTATAAATGTATGCACGTGTGTGTACACACAAACACACACTTGGAAATTTTGTATATTTTTATACATGGGCAGAAACTATAAACTTAAATATACTTGCAGTGTTTCAACACATCTGTTGGACCAACTGTCACATAACTAACTTAAAGATTTGGGGAAGCCATTGCTGTTTCAAAATCATTCTGTTAAATGCTACCAATCCCAAACTTAATATATAGTATATAGTAAGTCCTCAAAAAGACTTTGAGATAATACTGTATCATTTCGGCCACCTTGTCTGCATTCTTTCTACACAGACACAGCAAGTTGGTTTTCCTGTTATGCACCTCACAGCCTTTACCACTGTGTATGTTCACAGACACCAAAGGAAAGATGCAGCTGCTACTCAACAGGCTGAAAAGCAAAGCACAAATAGTAGGCAGAATGCTAAGAACTACTAAGTAGTTTATAGAAGTAGAGAAAAAATACTATTTTTATTCATTGTTAAAGCCTTTTCAGAGTAAGTGCCAATCACTGGAGTTGTAAATAATGGTGCCTTACTTAACGTTCTATGCTTCGTTGGCACTTCATTCTGATTAGAGAGTAAGTAGTTTCCATTCATCATCACCTTAATGAGGACAGATATCAGGTACATTTACTAATAATTTTCCCACAAAAATACTATGTTCTCTACTTCTGATTGTGACTTAGTTATTTAACTATTAAGCTATTTGATTTAATGTTTGTTGCCCAGTAACTGAATGAGATTCATTGATGTTGCTGCATTCTAAATTCTATCATTCCATTATAATCCTATGTTTATATGTAGGGGTGTGAACTGAAATTGGAGTTTCACTTCTGTGTATTTATACTTTACTCCCTCATTAAACAAATGGGAATTGTTTGGCCTTGTGCCCATTTTTGTTTGGTAAGAGGCCCAGGAAAAGAACGGTAGGATCCAGACTGAAGTTTAATATAAACATTTATGGAAGGTGTTGTGTAAACTGTCCTGTATTTGTAAACATTGTACATTCACATAAAAGAATTATTTTCTGTAATACAAGGAAATTCAGAATTAGAAGAGAGGAGTTTGAAGTTACTATAGTGTAACCATTAAGAATAAGATTCATTTTTATTTCTCCTTTCAGACATAACTTTGTTTAGTTTTAGTAAACATGTAAATATAACAGACTTCATGGTGAGAATAGAATTTCAAATATTTTTAGAATGGTAATAGAGATGTAGCAAGTCTGGTAGTCATGAGAAAACTGACAAACTACTTAATGAAGGGTAATACCAAGAGAGGACAATCTGATTCAGTTTGCTGAATGAAATTTTTGTAAAGTATACAAAGTGATTAGCAGAAATGATGCTTACAGAGCTAAATAAGAGTCAAGGGTGTTATTGTTGGAATAGATTTTTAAAGAAATCAAAACTTGAAATTTTTGGTGCCTAACACTATGGTCCACTTTTAGGGAAAGCTGAGTATAGTATATGAATTTTTTTATATTAAAATGTGTTGTCTAGTTGATAAAATGAAGATCAAAGCACCGTTGTCTACTTTTTCCACAATTAATATTTCCTTAAATTGTTTTGTAAATGTACGTAGCACTAGAATTGTTTTTTTCTTTTGAGGGAGACCTAATACCATTCCATGAGTCACCTATCTACTTCTTTAAAAAGATGTTCTTTTTGAAAGATTGCCTTTGATAGAACTCAGTGTGGACTTTTGTGATCTGTTACAGCACATCTTAGCACAATAAGAGAACTTGGAAAGGTAGTGTCACTTTCCAATGACAAGAAATCTGATTCATATCTAAAAGTATATATTATGATTAATACTGTATAGTTGAGAATTCAGAAGAAAAGATAATATTTTCTCTTAATTTAACTCAATCTGTGCCTCCTTTGGTTGTTAAAACACATATTCTAATATAAGTTATTTGTAAAATGCTAACTTCAGCCCATACCAAAAATAGCAATAGGGAGGAGAGACTAGCCTCTTTGCACTACTGCAGTCAATTATAAACCAACTCGCTTTCTACAAACTTTTTAACACCTTAAAATACATCTGAAAACAAAATCCTAAACTGGCCAAGACACTAACTTTTTTGTATAATCATTTATAACTACCTTTGTCAAGTAAAAATAATTCGCTACATAGAAGTCCTGTGCCAGAATTCTTTGTTCTTGGCAGTGCTCTAGGACCTGAAGGTGATGGTTCATTCCAAGAACCTGTTGTCTCTGAGGAATCCACTGAGAACTGGCACCAATGCTTTTTAGTACTGTGTTTATGTGACGAGTTGTTAAAGCATGTATCTTTTTTACATATTCTTTTTTTTTTCAAATTAAAGTGTATAAAAACTTCAAAATCTTGCCTTAAGCTGTTTTAATTCTTTTCTAGGATTCATGAATTGTGGCATTTAAAAATTCACTTTTGATAATTTAAAAAAAAAAACACTGAAGCCCTGCTATTAAAATACACATTTACTTACATGCTACTTACTAGCAGTGCAAATATGGATGTGATTACTGGTGTCATCTGTAAGAACCAAATGCTTTAATTATATCAGCATAGTGAAGATGTATAATATTTTTATTAATACTTGGAATATATTCAGTGGCTTGAATGTGACTTCATAACTATACTACAATTATATTAAAATATTTCTGAAATAAAGAACTCAATCTGTCTTTTCTTTCTTGTCTTAATATTTTGGTTTCAAACTTTTATAACAGTGTTCTTTGTATCTCACCCAGGAGTTTATAAAGTTTAGTAATCCTGGATTTCAGATCTGTCAGACTCCCCTAAAATGTCTAAAAAGAGAGTCTGAATTGCTATCCAAGTGTGATTCTTTAAAGGTTTGGATATCATTTTTCTACAGCCCATCACTATTCCTGAGATGTGAATTCTTCTGTAGATGTGGTTCCTGGTCTCTGACAGTTCACTTAAACAGTAAACATTCAGTGCAAATTCTAACACCATACCTTTACTCCTGGGTATGGGCATGAGACTGGGTCTCTATACTGTGAAAAGGAATCTAAACACCCTGAAAGGACAATTAAAGCCCAATAAATATCCATGATGCCTATGAAAGCTGGCTTATGTAGGCTTACTCTTTGAATAAATAAGTGCCTGCCTAACTTCCTGCCAGGCTGTTTGGAGGTGCTGGCGTACAAATAGTATTGTAGGCAGTGGTTACAATGGCTTCCTGCTGTTGTAAAGGACTAGAGTTTGGTTCCCGGTACAGTACAGAGGCACAACTGCCTATTACTCTAGCTCCTAGGGATCCACTGTCCTTCTGGCCTCTGTGGCCACTGTACGCCACATGCACAGCCATATATTCCTGTAATAATCTTTAAAAAGTCCTGGAGGCTGGGGAGGTCACTGAGGGGTTAAGAGCTTATTGCTCTCACAGAGGACTTGGGTTCAGTTTCAAGCACTCACATGGCAGCTAAGAATTCTGTGACTCTAGGTCCAAAGGATCTGGTATCTTCTGGCCTCCATGGGCACTGCAGGTACTGTGGTACAAAGACATAAATTCATTTAAGTGTAGACTGCTTGCTTATTTATTTCCTGGCTGCCCAGACCTGAATAATCACACAGAAACTATATATTATTCCAATACTGCTTGACTAATGACTCGCGAGTATTTCTAGCTAGCTCTTACATCTTAACCCATTTCTATTTATCTTTTACCACGAGGCTCATGGTTTGCTGGTAAGGTTCCAGGGTCATCCTCCTTTGGCAGCTACACAGTGCCTCCTGACTCCCCCTTCTTTCCTCCTCTATCTCTGCTTGATTTCCTGCCCTGCCATAGGTCAAAGCAGCTTCTTTATTAACCAATGGCAATAAAACATTCATAGCATACAGAGGGACTCCCACATCAAATATGTGCATACATACACACACATTTAAAAATATAATTTTCTTTCAGGTAGACAACATGTTGCTATGTATAGAATCAGAAATGTGAATGTGCCTGGAATGTTTAGCAATAATAGCAAAGTGGGAGGAATGAGGCCATCTCAATGCATATTTCAAATGCACTGAGAACGTGTAAAAAGGGCTCCTGGGATGGCTCAGTGAGTAAAAATGCTTGCTATACACTGACAAGTTAGTTTTCCAAGGCCAGGGGAAGGTGAAAATATTCAACAGATTCCATAATGTTGTCCTCTTACATTCCCCATACTCAACACTTTCTTAAAAACTTTATATTTGGGCTGGAGAGATGGCTCAGTGGTTAAGAGCATTGCCTGCTCTTCCAAAGGTCCTGAGTTCAATTCCCGGCAACCACATGGTGGCTCCAAACCATCTGTAATGAGGTCTGGCGCCCTCTTCTGGCCTGCAGGCAGACACACAGACAGAATATTGTATGCATAATAAATATTTTTTTAAAAAAACTTTATATTTTATGTATGAGTGCCATGCAAATATACTTGCATATGTCGGTAGAGGGCATCAGATACTATTATAGAAGATTGTGAGCCACCATGTGGTTGTTTGGAGTTGAACACAACCACTGGAAGAGCAGCCAATACTCTTAACCCCTGAGCCATCTCTCTTCTGCCCCCTCACCACCACTTAAAAAAAAAAAAAAGTTAAAAAAAATTTAGAGGTATTTACACAGGAGCAATGCATTTATTTGACCACTAGGTGGACAATAGGTTGTATAAAGAATGGAGTACCATTTAAAACACCTGAGAAACGATGGATAGGATGGGGTATCCGTGGAAACAAGTAATTATACACTCTGGAATGAGATGTGTTGGGGTGACTCATGGAAATGAGAAAGAATAAAGAACCCTGAATTTATATTTTGGGCAAATGTGTTAAACTGAAATGAAGGGCTCTAGCTTATGGATGATGAATTGAAGCCAAATTTGATGTACGGGTCACATATCTGGGCTAAAAGTATGAATCTGGTTAATTATTCAAATATATTTTTGCAGCCGGGCAGTGATGACGCCTTTAATCCCAGCACTTCGGAGGCAGAAGCAGGTGGATCTCTGAGAGTTCAAGGCTAGCCTGGTCCAGCCAGGGCTGCACGGAGAAACCCTGTCTTGAAAACAAAACAAAAATCAAATATATCTTTGCTAGGAAAAATACAAATTTGGTTCAAGTACCCAATGTTTTGGGAAACATTCAATTAGTGATGGGTTAAAAGCATGCAGCTGGACAGGGAGGGCATGGTGGCTCATGCCTTTCACCTAAGCACTGTCTCAAGGCAGAAGCAGGACTTTTTGTGTTGTTTACAAAGGAAATTCTGTCTCAAAAAAAAAAAAAAACCCACGAAAAATGGCAGCAATGTTTCAGTACCATGTTGTTTTAAACTTCTCGCCCGTCACTTGTCAACAGAGTCTTGTAGATTTGAGTTTCCTCCTTCCCAAGCCCTTGCTTTTTATTTTCTGTTGCATTTTTAACAAGTTGTTCCATTCACCCATTCTTGGAACGCATTAATGGTGGGCCGGCAGTAGGTCATCCTTAAAAGCTAAATTCCTTAGGAATGCCCTTTCCCCCTCATCTTCTCCAAACTGCTTTCCTGGTCCCCAGCTCTTCTCAGCCGGGTCCGCCGGCGGGCTCTGTGCTAGCCTAGGGTTAACGCTCTGGAGAGGAGGGAGGCGCCGGCTGCGCGGAGGCGGAGGCACAGGCACGGCGGTCTCTTCGAAGCAGCGCTCACGCCGCACCGCTCGAGTCTGGGGCTGGTAAGCGAGCCCTGAAGAACCGCTGACCTCGCAGCTTACCCAAATCCTCCAGTCCGGGGCTCGATCCCACCCTATGTTCTCAGAAACCGCCTCCACTCACGGGTTAGACTGACTTCCGGATCTGCCTTTGAGGCTCGGCGGGAACTCAACTAAAACTGAGGCGTGACGTCTCACCGCAAAGCCTTCTGGGACACGTAGTCACGCGGGCGCCCGTGGCCGCGCCGTATAGCCCCGCCCCGCGTTGGATGAAGCGTATACGTGTGGCGTCACTTCCTGCGTATCTTGCCTTCCTGCGGAGTTTCCTCCCTCGTTCTCTCTTTGCTGCCAGACCTCCGCCATCATGGGTCGCATGCACGCTCCCGGGTGAGCCGCGGCGCCAAACCGGGTTGTGGGGCTGGAGCTGGGGCGCTAGGGCGCGGGGCAATGAGAGGAGGAGGATGCGGGCTGCAGGTGGGGAGACCGCGGGGCTGCTTGAGCCGCGGGCCGCCATTTCACACCCTGTGCTTCGGTTCTCAGGAAGGGCCTGTCCCAGTCGGCGCTGCCCTACCGCCGCAGCGTCCCCACGGTGAGTAGAGGCGGCGGGTTGGGGGGCAGCATGGGGCGGGGAAGGGATCTGAGGCCCGAGGGGAAGATTGCTGTCGTGCTTTCTTACGCTGAGGCCGATTTCTGTTCCGCGTACAGTGGCTGAAGCTGACGTCTGACGACGTGAAGGAACAGATTTACAAACTGGCCAAGAAAGGCCTCACTCCCTCCCAGATAGGTGAGTGTTGGTGTCGTCTCTAACTTCTGCTCTCGTGTGATCTGGAAAAACAAACGTGTCTAATCCGTGCGTCGGACACTCGTATCCCTGCTTCCACAGCTAGACGAGGAGCATCTGGGATCGAGTCACATGTAGCTGTGAATCGCCTGGGACTTCGTACAAACAACAGATAATTTGTTTCTGCTAATGTGGTCCTGGGGTGTGGGATAAGTGGTCATAGGAAAACATGCTCGCTAAGACTTGCGTATACTACAGATACGGAGAACAAAGAATTTGAGAGGGACTCGTTTAAAAGGAATAGCATATGCAGATTTCAAAATTGGTATAAATACACGTTAAGGCAGTTTTAGTTAGGGCAAGATATAAAGGCAGAGATCTCTTTGGTTCCTTTGGTCAGCTATATTCTAGCAGCCACACTGTGATGATGGTGTTCCAACATTCGCGGTTTCCACCAGAAGGGCTTCTTCCATGTTGGGTAGACCTTCCTTGGATGTCTGAGTGAGCTGCAAGCGCTGTTAGGTTGGCTACTTGGAGGAAATTTGGAGGGCCTTGCTATCAGGGCTTTATTACATGCTCAAGTTTGTGTTAGAAATTACTTGCTTTTTTCAGGTGTGATCCTGAGGGACTCGCATGGTGTGGCCCAGGTCCGTTTTGTGACTGGTAATAAAATCTTGAGAATCCTTAAATCCAAAGGCCTTGCCCCTGATCTCCCTGAGGATCTCTACCATTTGATTAAGAAGGCAGTTGCTGTCCGAAAGCATCTTGAGAGGAACAGAAAGGTAAGTGAGTACACAAACCTGGGATTGTGTAGCGGTGCTTGTCCTGGTCTTCAGGTGGCAGGGTGCATTGGAGTTTCATTCTATCGGGTGGTTCTAGGCCCCAACTAATCAACATTCCAGTTTCTTTGAAATGGGTAGCTTGATTATTTTTTTTCTCCCCTAAACATACCCAGTTGGTTCCAAATGTTGGGGACTGTTGTAGTTTTTTGACAATTTCTATAGACCTTATTCTGGATCCTCAAATTGCCTCTATGGGTTTGGTGGTTGTGTGCATATAATCTCAGCAAGGCCGGTGGATCTCTGAGTTTAAGGCCAGCCTGGTCTAGCAATTTGCCAAGATAACAGACGACGGTGGCCTTTAATCCCAGCACTCGAGAGGCAGGCTGATCTCTGAGTTCGAGACCAGTCTGGTCTACAGAGCTAGTTCCAGGACAGGCTCCAAAGCC